GTAAATTTTTTGGATGCTAATGATGGAGAGGAACAAAAATCAAGGCACAAACTGGGAGCAATTTATGTCCTGGCAGCCAGGGGCTGGTGCTGGGAAGCACCAGGAGCTTTTCCTGGTACAACAATTTGCTTCCCACAAGCAGAGGGAGGGTCAGCTGCATTTTATGGCAGTGCCATTTGTTTGCAGAGCTTTTGAAAATTAAGATTGACTAATATGTTCTGGATTGACTTGTTCATATCTCCAAGATCCAGAACAACTGCTGTCCCATGGTTTTTCTCCTTCCTTTTTGGGTTGGTTTGTTGTGGGTTGTTTCTTTTTTTTCCTAATGGCCATGACTCAGCCCTTCCCTGCTGCTCTCTGAGTTTCCTGGTTTCTGAATAGGCTATTCTTGGGACAGCAATTCCTGACAGATAGGAACAAGGCAAGTGTTGTGTTGTTTTCTTCTCTATTTCTTCTGTGGCCTGCGTAAATGTTCTGCTTCCCTCTGATTTTTGCCTTTTTCCCACATTACTGAATTGTCCTAAATTGCTGGATGTAATCTGGGGCACGTTTTTGCCCTTGTAGCAAAGGAGCCCTCTCAGACATGATCCAGGCTTGCACAGCAGCAGCTTTTCTTTCCCAGCAGGATGGTGGTGACAATCCTGAGCGTGGAGGGTTGGACTGCTACAGCTCTGTCTATTGTAGAGCTTCAATCTGCCTTGATGTAGCCCCTCTGACTCCCAGGAGCTGTGCTTGGCTCTCCAGGGATCTCCTGAGCAAGGGGTAGATCCAGGTGAGGACCAGCACGTGGTGCCACGTCCACGGAGGGTCAGGTGGCTCAGCCTGGCTGTGGGTACATGGTGCCTTTGTGTGTACTGTCACAAGTAAAGGGAAAACACCACCTAGAATTTAAAAACAATGAAAAAAAACCTTTCTGATGGCTTATTTATTGCCCCCCTGCAGATGGCAGAGGTGAAGAAGTTAAAGGATGTTCTTTCTGAAACACTTCACGGTGCAGTTACCCAGCCTTTTTAAACAAAAAGCTTTTGGATTTTTTCTGAAGTTTCTTCCTCTGTAGTGTGGGCTGGAGAAAGTCACCTGCTGTGGCAGGGAGCACCCCTGTTCCAGGTGTGCTGGCTGCTGCTCTTGATGTGCAGCTGGGAGTGAATGAGTTATCTAATATTGAACTTTGCTGGGTTTTAGTTTTATTAAGAGCCCAGCTCTTTCTGTCAAGACACCATTGTGAGGGGGAAATAGCCTAAACTGTTGTATATTTGCCTTGAAAATACAGTTGGCTTTTAGAAAAACCAGAAGGACTCTATGTTTTCTCAAAGCCTGTAGTTACCAAGAGAAATTTCTCAGACTAGAGGGCTCAGACACAGGGGCAGTGTTCTTCCTTAGCATCCCTCCACGTTTTTGGATATGCTGTATTGTTGTTAAGCCAACCAACAGAAAAGCTGCTCTGTGTGAGGAGGCTTTGAGAACATTCGCTGCCAGATTAAATTAGCCTTTCTGAGAATAAATTAGTCGTTGTGATGCAGGCAGCCCCACTCTGTACAGCTGTAAAATCTGCGTGTGCTGGTCCCTGCAGCAGATAAATGATGTGTTCAGGGCTGTGCTGTTAACAAGAGATTACATTTCTGGCTGGGGATGAATGAAAAGCAGCCTGTTAGATTTTATTGATTATTTCTCTAAATGAGAAGCATTTTCTTTTAAAGCATTTAATTTTAAAGCATTTTCTTTTAAAAGGAGGGAAAGAAACCAGTGGGATTCAGTGCAGCTCCATCTTGGGAGGAACTCGTGGACTCAGAGCTGTAGCCCTGCTGCAGTGACTCCAACCTGGGATGCTTCTGAGGTCCTCAGGGGTGCCAGTCACCAGCTCACGGCAGAAGGGGAGCTGGATCCGTGTGTTGGAGGGGAGGATAAAGCCTGGAATATGCAGTAGAGGAGTGCAGTGGGGTTGGGATTTTGGCTGCTGCCCACTCTTTTGGGGTTGTGTTTTTAGCTGAGCACTGGATAAAAAGCTGCTGCTGATGTGTGCATGCTGCCCTTTTCTTAGAGGCATCTTTGGTTTGTCTCCTAATTAACTAAATGTCTTTATTCTGCTTTGTGCTATATCAGGAAGTGCTCGCAGGAGGCTGGGCCTGTGCTGAAGCCTCAGCTTGTCCTTCCCACCTGCACTCAGCTCCTCCAAAATCTTCACCTAGTCTTTAAGCAAGCAGGGACTTGAGACCTTTTCCTGGTGTTAAATATCAGCTCTTTCTTGTTGCAGGTCTTCCACAGAGATGTCATCTGGAGCATATTTGTGTTTTGGGAGCAGAGGTTTCCCCCAGAGTTCGTGGCTGCCACAGGGGGTGTTAATTTAGCCTTTCAGACTCTCCTTGCCATGACTCAGGATGGTTTAGCTTGGTGGGAGCTCAGTTTGGAGCTGCCTGCTGGGCTGTTCTGATGTGAGAAAACAGTTCCCAGCCAGTTTAGTGTCGTAACTGTGGCAGCTGCTCTGTCTTCCTCAGGCTCAGGAGAGGATTTGAGCAGCTGAGCTGTTTACCTGCCCTGAGGGCATCCTGCTATTATGGGCTTGAATCCTCCCTGTCCCATCCTCTGCTGTGGGAGCAGTGACCCTGCCTCAGGACTGTTCCAAACCCTCTGACCAGTGATGCTTTTTGGGAGCAGCAAGGCAGTGAGGTGTTGCTGTGACAGAGAAAGGGTTTGGAAGAGCCCAGAGCAGGGCCCTGGGGAGGGGTGTTCTGTGTGATAGAGCTGCTTGGAGTCTAGCTCTGTCCTGGATTTTCAGTAGGAGCTTTGGGGAAGGGGTTATGAAGGAGTTGGCAGGAGCTGGTGCTGCAAATTGAAAACACAGTCATGGAGGAGTGAAAATTACTTTACTGGACCTGGAAGTCAATGTGGACTAGCCAAGTCTGGTGGGAACTGGAGGAAGAATTGGGGATGGCAGGAGCTCTGTGTAACTTGGGGATGCCCAGCACTGGGCACACTCAGTGGCTGTTGATTAATCCAAGGGTTTTCCCCTCTGGGACATTGTCATCCATCTTTGAGCAGTCCAAATGAGTTTGGCCTGGGAGCAGGGCAGTGCCAGGTATCCTCCTCCTGTCCAAGTGCCATGGCACTATCCAGCCCCATGCTGGTGACCCTCAGCAACCCCAGGAGAAGTCCCAGTCTGGAACTGGGAAGTTCTGTGGGAGCAAGGAAGTGAATGTGGTAACACAAACAGCCTCAGCATGGAAGAGTTTCTCCAGTGCACATCTTGGGATGTGTGTGGATGCTCCTGGCTGGCAGTGGGACTCTGGAGAGATCTCAGACCTTACACACAGGATCCTGCTGGACCCCAAACCACACTCCTTTGCAAAGAGTGAGCCTTGGCCTTACACAAAATCGAGTGACACAGAGCACTTCGCACTAGTCCTCAATAAAAGTGCAAGGTGACATTGTACCAGTTAAATCTGAATGTCAGCAGCTTCTCTGGTGCCGAGGCGGGGGGATCTGTGAGCCTGGGAAATGCTCATGCTGGAGACTGGAGCCAGTGCTGCAGCAAGCTGCTGCTCTCCTTGGGAAGGAAACATCAGTGCCATGGCATATGTTTTGTACAGCACTTGAAAATGGATCTGGAATCACCAGAAAATTATTTCGTTGTGTTGCAAAATCTGCAAGGGAATTCTGAATATGCTCTTGGGCTCTGATTAATTCTGAAACTGAAATGCAAAACTGCTGATCATCTCTGATTCTAATTTCCTCCTCCCTTGGAGCTCTCTGTGTCATTAATGGATGTCACACGTACTCAGTTGATTCAGCAATGATGTAGCTGTGTTATTTGACTTTCTCTCAAAAAATTCTATAGAAGGAGGGAGTAATAAAATAGTGAGTGTTTAAAGAAATAAAACATTTCTAATTTGATGTTGGAAAGGGAATCTATAAAACCCTGGGGTTTGCTGTGAGACATAGTGGGTACCCATTGTATATTCACCTTCTCTGTGCTGGTCTCCCCCAGATGGGAGTCAGCAGATGCTGACAGCAAGAGATGCTTTTTTGTGAAGGTAACTGAAGAGCAGTACTTGGTGACTGGGAATGACCTGGGGTTCTCCATGGAGAACCTCCAGGCTGCCCATTCTCCAAATCCATGAGTGCTGGGAGTGGGAGGGACTGACTTCTGCCTTTGATCCCTTCCTAACTCATCCTTAAGCCTCTGTTCTGGGCTGCCCTCAGAAGTGAGCTCGGATCTGTGACTGTGCTTAAGAGCTGTGGATCTTCTCCCGACCTCCTGAGACTTCTGCTTGCTGTTAAGCTTCTTGAGCTGGGGTATTTTTGTTTGCTTGTTTAAATGAACAGCTATTCTTGTTGGCACAGTTGTGTTTCATGCTACATTAAAACACTGTTGGAGTAGATGTTGCTTGAGATTCTGGCAGGTTGTGTTATCACCATTATTAACAGATATCAAAGGGATGATGTCATGCAGGATGTATCCTCTCAGGGGGGAAATTAAGTAGATACAGAGGACTGGAGGCAACAGCTGCTGCTGTCACTGGATGCTTTCCCATGGATGTTATCGAGTGTTAGCTTGGATTCTTTGTGAACTGCAGTGAAAGTCTCATGGAAAAGCTCTCTGCTTCCCCAGGGATTTGGCTTGCAGCACCCTCCTTTTCTCATCTCTGTGGAGCACATTGGTCGGATGCAGAGGAGCTCAGATTTATCTTTAAGCACATCCATCCATGAGCACGCCTGGTGTTTTGCAGCCTGTCTTCTCCTGTGCAGCCAGGACATCTGCTGGAAGGGTCTGAACAGTGAGCACCTCCTGGGTGGGACAGTGGCAGCCTGTGGGGCAGCCTCCCTGCTGTGTGCTCCTGCTTGCTCTGTGTTCACAAAACTGGCTTTTGGGGGCCAAATTCAGCTGCCCTGGTTGTGCAGAGTGCTCTGTCTACACCTCAACTTTCCCCAGTGTCCTGACACGTGGAAGGGCTGCGGTCCAGTTTTGAAGTGTGGGGTTGTGACCCCTCTTCTCTTGCAGCCCCTCCTGGCTCCTGGATGTCACCGTGAGCTCTTGCCAGCCTGATGCTTCCCACAGCCGTGTGCCACGTCTTGGGAGCCAACAGCAGAGAGAACGAGCTCCCCCAGTTTGTTCTTTTCATTTTGCCTGGTTTTTCTTTAAATATTCAGGTTAAGCAGGTCCTGGCAAGGCTGTTTCTGCAGCCCCAGTGTGACAGCCAAGAGCGCTTGGTCAGCCGATCCGGAGGCGAACAGCACTGGAGAGAATCCCAGAGGCGGCAGCAGGTCCTGCAGGCACTCCTCCCGCACGTAACCCTTTGTGGGAGTTGCAGATGAAGCCTCCTTGTCTTAAGCAGGGAGGATTTTGTGTCTGGTTTCCTGATATCCATGCAGAGGAGCTGCTGGAAGTGGAAATTTGAATCTCTGGCCAAGGACAGCTGAGCCGGGGCTGCGCTGTGGAGATTATCTGATTGTGCTTTGGACTTAATGCCCTGAGAAATCTTGCTTGGAATACAGCACCTGGCTGCCAGCGAGGATCCTGCTCTGAGGTGATTTGTCTGCTGGGTGATGGTGGCACACAGAAGGTCAAACGATACGTGCAAGGTCCTCAGGTAAACGACTGCAATGGGAAAGCTCCTCCGGAAATTCATGTACTGGAGAGCAGAGCAGGGAGCTTTGGCTGTCTGACATACCTGGTTCAAATGATGAAAACCTTCTGCAGTATTCCTTTGTTTTAAAGGAGAGCTGCTGGCCTGCCTTGCCAGATGACCTTTCTGTGCCTGCATTGAAGGAGCAGCCTGACCCTCCTGGAAGAAGCAGTTTTCTGCAGCTGAAATCTTAGTGCAGAAGTGTGGAAGGAATCTGCTGTTCTGGGAGCAGCCTGTCTGTTCCCAAACAGTGGGTTTGTGCTCCCTGGCTGTGACTTGGACTTGGGAAAACGCAGCTGAGTTGCTCAGAAGAAGAACAGACCTCTCCTTCATCCTTCACTCGGGTTTCCGTTTCCATCGGCGCCTTGCAGAGCGTTGCAGGCATGCGCCCTCTTGCTGCCTTGGCTGAGACCAGGATGAGGAGTTGAGGAAGTGCTGCCAAGGTTAACAGCGGGTACAGGGGCCGGTACATGGTCAGGATTGCCAGGACATCCTTCTCTCTGTGCTGTTCAATCCTCCCCTCCTGGTTCCGGGGAGGTGGTGTGCAGGCTGGGGGCAGCAAATGCGCATGGGAAGAGGCAAAGCTGAGGGGGAGCTTCGGCTTGTTTGCATGGAAAACATCTTTTTGTTGTTCTGCATAAAAACCAGGCAGAAATAACCACTGCTAGTGCTTGTTCAGCAGAGATTTATGCTGTCTTTCCTTTGGAGGTAAGAGCTGTCCGGTGGGATTGCGCGTGGTGGGAGCTGAGCCACGTCCCTGCACTGTGCCAGCGGGCACAGCACGGGCAGGGGGCAAAGCCCTGTGAGCTCTGGGCACAGGGAAACATCCCTGTGAGCTCTGGGCAGAGGGAAACATCCCTGTGAGCTCTGGGCACTGGTGTAACACAGGGAACGTGCAGCTCTAGGCTGGGTTTGGAGGTGCTGTTCCAAAATGCCATTGTGGAGGAGGGCGATTGGGATTTGGGATTGGGATTGCCACGGTCAGGGTATGGCTCTGTCCCCCTCAGCACACCCTGCTTGGTTCTCCCTCCTTGCTGCCCTTAAAGCTCCTTTGGAGCTTTAAGAGATTTTGGCTCAAATGACATTTTGCCAGCATCTGATTGGCCTTTTGTGCCTTCCTCATCTCAGTATTTCCCAGTTTCTGAAGCACATAACCTGTGGCACACAGGTATCTTTCCCAGGGCGAGAAAGACTGGGATGGTTTTGGCCACAATGATGTTCTTATCTCTAATGGAAGGGTGCTGAGCTCAGTGGGGGCCCAGCATCTTCAGGACTCTTGGCTTTTAAAGCTGTATTTCCAAAAGCCTGGAAGCTGGAATCTGCATCTCTTTGATGTGCAGTGAAGCTGAAAGTGCTCATATATTTTCCTCTTATTTATTCATTGAATTTTAGTGTGGATTTTTATTTTTTCAAATATCAGAAGTTTTTTTTTTTTTTTTTAATGGAGGAAGAGCTCCAAAAATGTGCAGCAGCAGCTTTTGAAGTGTCAACGTCACCGAACGTGGCTGAGTATGAACAAATGCTTGTCTCAGTGGCTGGAGCCACTGCTCCCATGGAAGAAGCAAAGCTGAATTGCTGTGCATCTCAGTTACAAGTGCAGCAGGAGCAAGGACAGCACAGGCTGTTTCAGCTGTGGGCTGGATCTCAGTGGTGCTGTGAGGCTGACTCAGAGCTGCTGGGGCCAGTGCTGCACCATCAGGGCTCACACGTGAGTTGGACCTGGCAGCATCTGCTCTGCCCTTGCCAGGTTTGTCTCACCCGTGGAGATTTCATCTGTGAGGAGGCAGCTTGAAGCACAAACAGCTGCTGCTGGGGAAGAGTGGCATGAGCAGACCAAATCTGAATTGTCTGTGTCCATCCTCTTCGTGGCATTATCTATTTTATGGTGTTGGGACCTGCTCTGGTGGCACAATATTCCCTGGTCCCACTGCACACCGGTTGTTTTGCTGGGTGATGCCCACTTTATCTATTTGGAAAGCAGGTGGGATGTGCAGACCTTTCCTCTTGCCATGTTTGAATCCCAATTTTGTTTTCTGCAATGAGGTAACAGGGAAATACAGCCAGTAGGAGACACTGGGCCCTGACACATCAGCTCCTCTCATCACTGCTGGAAGTTGCTTTGTGTCAGTTTTGAACATGTCAGTAATGGGAACCAGGGGCTTTGGAGTATTGATTGATGCCCTCTGGACAAGGGCCTGGAATCACAGGGCAAGGGGGAATGGCTTCACCCCGACATAGGGCAGGGCTAGATTGGAAAGTGGGAAGAAATTCTTCCCTGTGAGGGTGGTGAGACCCTGGCACAGGTGCCCAGAGAATCTGTGGCTGCCCTAGATCCCTGGAAGTGTCCAAGGCCAGGTTGCACAGGGCTTGGAGCTGCCTGGGACAGTGGAAGGTCCCTGCCCATGGCAGGGGGTTGTAATGAGATGGGCTTTAAGGTCCTTTCAAACCAAACCGTTCTGGAATTGTACAATCTGGGATTCTACAATCCCTCTTTAGCGGGGTAGGGGGCTGCTGAGCACAGGAAGGAGTGGATTAAAAGCATTGTGTTTCCACAGGCAGGGCTGGGTGCTGCCCCACGGCACTTGGGCTGTGTGAGAAGCCTCAGACAGACCTCTTGGGGATGAGAGTTACCCTCTGATCTGAACAGGGGACCTCGAAATCTGTTGCCATCTTCTTACCCAAGAGCTGCCTGGAATGAGATCAGGGAGCACAAAGCCAGGGGAGGGCACAGGGATTGAGGCCATGGCCAGGGCGGGCCAGGCCCTTTCTGCGTGGAGGCCGTGGTGGAGCTGTGCTGTCCTGGTTGTGTCTGTGCTGTGCCCCAGCAGGTTAATGGGAATCTTTTCTTTTTCATTTTCTTTAGCAAGTATCAATTCCCTGGGGGACACGGGGGTCCTTTGCCTGTCTTCTGTGTTTAACTGATTGTGATGATTCTGGTTGCATAGTGGATTTATCCTCTGTAGTTAATTTGCAGAGGAAACCAGTAGAAGCTGTTCTTCCAGTTGAGAAGAGCTAATCTGCATTTGTAGCTGGAAATAGCATCTCCTCTCTCCATCCTGCTATGATAACCAGCTCCTTATGAGTCTCAGGAGCTTGCAGTGTGTCCTTGCTCCAAAGGACCTGCACAAAACATTGGTGATTCCATCAGATCTTGACCTGAAACCGGGTAATTTTGGAATTCTGCAGGGTTGTCAGTGCCTGGGTGGTGAGGGATGCTCTGGGGTAGCTCCTGCCCAGTGCCCTCTGGTATCCCACGGAGCTCTCCATCAGAAATGGGCTGGGTTTTGTGCTGCTCACATTAAGATGAAAGAAAGCACAGGAGAGAAACAGCTTCTAAGAGGCTTAAAAGCAACAGGCTTTATTTTCCTCCTGGGAAAGGCACACAGCCAACATCTTGCTCTTTACAGATCTCTCTTAATAAGCAGAATATTGCATTAGGAGCAACTGAGCCTGCCAAGTACGAGCAGAAGGGCCCTGCATCCCACAGCTTCCTTCATCCCAGGGCACGTGGCTCTGGGACCCAGGGCTGGCACCCCGGTGGCTGCCAGTCCCTCCTGGGCCGGGTGGCAGCATTAATTAATGGCTGCCTCACCCTGGGGCTGTTGCTTCATCTGATGGGTGTTGGTGGAGCACTCCTCCTCTTCTGCCTTTTCTTGCCAGCTGCTTTGATGGGGGGAGTGAGGCTGGGGAGTGTTGAAAGATTATTATGGGAAAGCAGCATCCGAGCGGGAATGGGAGGAGAACTATTATGTTAGGAAAGCTGTGGGCACAGGAAAGCTCCCTGGCAGGCTGGTGCCCACATGTAAGGACTCTGGGATGCTCTGGTTGGGCTGGGCTTATCCAGAACCCCTGCAGGCATGGGGACAGGAAGGTCTGAGGCTCCTGGATGCACAGGGTTGGCTACTTTGAGAATAAATCCTCCTTTTCTTCACATCCCCACTGAGCTAAAAGGAGCACGGCCCAGTTTGAGCTTTGTAGGTCACTGAAGGAGAAGGCAGGCTCTGCAGTGTGCCTGGAAATGCTCTGTGCCATGGCAACTCTGCTTGCCTGGGCTCTTAAGGAAGAAACTGGAGTGAGAAGCAGGAGGAAGATGACCCCCAGCTGCCCCAGTGTTACTCTTTGAAGCTGTGTGGCTGCAGCTGCAGACCTTGGGGGAGAAATTCTAGTCAGGAAATATGGACATCCTGGGGGAGACCCTGTGCCTGGCAGGAATCTGCTCAGCTCCTGGGGGGGATCAGTGTGCTCCTTCCTGAGCAGCAAGCGGTGGTGGTGCTCCTCCAGGGACTGATTAAATTTCCTGCTGCCTTGCAGGAGGTGTTGGTGGCAGGGAGCGTGAAGTAGGAAAACAGGAGTAGAATAAAGCAAAGCCATGCAGGTGAGGGAGGAGGGGTTTTCCTGCCTTGCTTTCCAAGTCTTTGGCTCTGCTTGACCCTTCAGCTGCAGGTGGCTGAGCCCCATGGGCACCTCTGTGGGCACACCTGCGATGCAGGGCTGGGGCAGCACTGGCTGCCTGGCCTGGTGCCTGTGCAGGCTGTGCCATGCTGGGGAGGTTGGTGTGCTCTGGGCTGGCTGCCCAGCACGTGGCACTGGACAAACAGGGTCACATTTGCTCCTGGCCTGTTGGGGTGAAGGATGGAGCTCCCAGCACTGCTCCCTGGGCTCTGACAGCAATGTCACCCTGTCCCATGCCTGATGGCAGCTGTCCTAAGCACCGAATGAGCAGCCTCTCACTTGTATTTCCCAATTTAGTCACATCCTACCAGCTGTAACTGAGCCACTGGAGATGGGGAAATCATGTTTCTTGATGTTGTTGCACTTCCTTGGATCTCAGAGCATGTCAGTGGGGCTTTGCCACATGCCAAGGACACAGAGCCTCATGCCTGCCATTGAGGGGGCACATGGGGAGGCTCCTGCCTGGGGAGAGAAGGGGTTTGGTGTGGCAGCCAGGACAATGGGGCAGCTGTGCCTCCTCTCCATCTCTGTCACTCACTTGCTGTCTCCTTTTACACAGACCCAGGGGAAGAAGCTGCCTTCCAAACTACACTGCTCACAGGAGCTGCTTCTCTCAGCCATCAAGGCCTCTGAGCTGTTGCTGCAGGGAAAAGGACAGGTAAATTCTGCCCCATGTAAAATAACAGCTCCAGCTGTTAAATATGGAATTACCTTAACTCATTGGATTTATTTAGGAATGCTCTGTGGGTTTGCACCCTCCGTCCCAGAGTTGGTGTTTCAGGCTCAGGGCGGGGCATTGTGTCACTGAGGGTGGAGGTGGGGGGCTGTGGGCAGCTCTTCCCCACCTTTGGTACCTCAGGGATGCAGCCAAGTCTTGGCACAGCAAATTCCAGCCCAGCACTGCCCTGGAGTGTGGCCACACAGTCCAGAGGTGCCCTGATGAGCTGCTGTGCACCAGGTGGGCTTTGCAGGGAAGCCCCATGGAGCTGGCAGGAAGATTTTACACCTTGGAGTTGCTGCCTGGTCAGAGCCTGCCCAGCTTTGGGGCCATACCCCTGGTTCTGCCTGGGAGGGGAAGCTGAGGCTGCTGCAGTGGTGGCACCAGCCCTGGCCTCCTCCGTTGCCTGTCACCTCCATCCCAAGCACCAGGCCAGCTCCGTGTGCCTGTGGCACCAAGGGCTGCTGTCACCTAAAGGCTGCTGTCCCTGCAGGGCTGCCTGGAGCCATGTCCAACGACCCACCCCCACCGTACCCGGGGGGCCCCTCGGCACCGCTGATAGAAGAGAAGCACGGCCCCCCCTCTGCACCAGGTACTGACTGGGGGGGACAGCACCCAGGAAATGTGGTTTCCCTGCCCCTGCCCGGGCTGTGGCCTCTCCTCGCAGCACGCCGGGAAGGGTGCTGCAGTGCCTGGCTCCCTCTGTCCCCATGTCACCCTTGGGGGAAGCAGGAGGGGTCCTAGGGGCAATGACACGAGCAGGAAGCGCTCCCAGCTCAAAGCCTGGCACTGCTCCCTGCCGTGGGGTGAATTTGGGTTTCTTATGGCCCAGAGGAGGATGTGGCTTAAGGGGTTGTCCCCCAGCTCTTGCTATCTCTTGTCTCCCTTCCCTGCCTCCTTGGCTGCTGACTGTGTTTCCTTTCAGAGGGTGTCACCCCAGTGGTGGGACAGCCCCAGGGGGTTCCTATCCCCCCTCCTGAGTTCGGACCCCCCCCATATGAGCCACCCTCACAGCCGGGGTTCATGCCCCCCCACATGCCCACGGATGGCTCTGGGCCCTACGTGCCACCAGGTGAGTCCTGCAAGGGGTTGGGGGACAGGGGGTGGGGATCAGCAACAGCACGTGTTTCCTGGTGCCCTGGGGAGTGGGGGGACACAAGAGGGGGTTTGGGCTGCCATTTGGAGCTTGCAGCGAGGTTCCTTGGGATGGGGTGGGGGGCACAGGGCCTGTAGCAGGGCTGGCCCCAAGTCTGTACTCAAAGGGTGGTGTTGCAGCAGGATGGGGGCCTCCCCAAAAAGGATCTGGCCTCTCCTGCCATGTACGAAAGTGCTCACTTGTTTGTGTTTCTCATTCACAGCGGGATACTACCCACCCCCAGGCCCTCACCCCCACATGGGCTACTACCCTGCCCCAGGCCCCTACCCGTCTCCTGGTGGCCACACGGCCACGGTGCTCGTCCCTCCGGGAGCTGCCACCACCACAGTCACAGTGCTGCAGGGAGAGATCTTCCAGGGTGCCCCCGTGCAGACAGTGTGTCCCCACTGCCAGCAAGCCATCACCACCAAGATCTCCTACGAGATTGGGCTCATGAGCTTCCTTCTTGGCTTCTTCTGCTGCTTCGTGGGGTAGGTGCTGCAAGCAAAGCTGGGACTTTGTGTTGAGTGCTCAGCCTGGTCCTGGGTAGCCCAGTACTGGTGGCCTTGGCTGAGCTGTTTGGCACAGAGGTGGCATTGGAGCAGCAGAGGGGTTCCTGGGTGACAGCCCCCTACAATTACATCTCTTGCCCATGGCCCAGAGAGAACCCCATGCCCAGGGGCTGCCCTAGCTCAGCATTTCTGCCTGTCCCTGTGCTCCAGGTGTGATCTCTGCTGCTGCCTGATCCCCTGCCTGTTCGATGACTTCAAGGACGTGACGCACACGTGTCCCAACTGCAAGGCCTACATCTACACGTACAAGCGCATGTGCTAACGGCACCCGGGAGCCACTGGAGCGCCACCGGCCCGTCCCGCTGCTGTCCCTCCATCCGTCCCCGCGTGTGCATCGCCCCTCGCTTCCCGCCGGTGGTGTGTATGTGTTATCCCTGGCTCCCTCCCGCGCAGGGCTGCCAGCACTGCCCCAGCTCTGCTCCTCACTGGGAATAGTGGGATTGGTGACACTGGTGCACAGGGGAGGCATGTGGGAGCTGCCCTGCAGTGCACAGGAGAGGGAGGCATTCCTCTGCACCCCATTGTGCTCCAGGCTGTGAGCGAGGCCCCTCTCACCTGGAGCAGCCCTGGGCAGAGCAGCAGCTGCTGGAGGTGCCCACAGTGCAGAGGGTGCCTGGCTGCAGGGATGTGCTGGGATGAGCTCCGGAGGGGACCCAGGCAGACCATGGTGCCCTCAGGGGATGCAGCACAGCCTTTGTAGCATTTTCAGGAAGGGGCTCAGTGACAAGGAGAAGGGCAGTGCCACGCACCAGATTTCCGTGTGGTTCTCTGCCTCCTCCAGCCCCGTGTCAAAGCCCCTTCCCGAGGGGAGGCAGAGCTGCCTCCAAGCACGGAGAGGGGCCCGGCAGCAGCACTGCACCCTTATCAGCACCTCCGTCCTGCCCGGTGGCCACTCCAGCTGCATGCGCCTCCTCCCAGCCCTGCCGCGGCTCTGGGGGCAGGGACTGCCCCAAGCAGCCCTGGCCCCCGGCAAACTGAGAGCCAAAACCACACCCGGCATGTCCCGGCTCTCCGGCACGTAGAGTAGAGGAGTTTGTTACCAGGCTGCAGCTCCAGAGCCGTCCTGGGCCTGGCAGGGTCTGTAGGGTCCTCCTTGCATGTGGTGTAGGGGTATTTTTAGCTCACTCACCTGAGGCAGAAGGCAGGGGGAAGCAGGCAGCGACAGGAGCTGCCAGCAGCACTCACACATCGGTGAAAGAGGACCTGGGAGCCAAGATCAGCCTCTCAGGGCTGCTTCTCCCTCCCCTGCCCTGCAGCTCCCAGAGCAAAGTGGGGGGGTCTCTCACTACACAGGTCTGCAAACACAGCCTGACCAGCACAGGCAGCTGCTGTTTGCTCAGGGGTGGAACTGTGGCACTAGTCAGTGTTTTTATGTAAATAAATAACAGACCCTGAACTCGTGTGCATATTTTCTTCTTTCCTGCTCAAAATTCACAGCAGATCTGCCTGCAGGGGAGCTGAGGATGAGGGCAAGGTGGGGGTACAGTGGTACAAGGCATGGTAGGAATAGCAGCAGCTTCACTACTCTACCAGGAACCTCCTCAACATGGAAAAGCCCCAAGCCCTGACAGCACCTGGCTGTGTCCTCTGAGCAGGGCAATGGAAACCACATGGAAACCCCAGGGGAAATAGCAGGGACAGTGGGGTGCTAGGGCAGGAGTTTATCAGGGACTGCATGAGTCAGAGACAAGAGTCAGTGTGGGAAGGCACTCCCCTTTCTCCCCCTTAACCCCCTCCCCAGCCTCCCCATTCTCACAATGATGTGCTTTTGGCTTCCCCCAGCTACAACATTGCAACTTTTTATTCCAGTCAGGGCTTCGGGAAAAGTAACCGACAACCAACCCTCAACCCCGAAGTTGCACAATACACATCTGTCACCTCCATACCCCACCATGGTCCTTCCTCCATCCCCAGGGAGCTCTCTCCAACAGGAGTCAGACTTGGTTCCTAGGACATTGCACCAAACAGGACACTTCTTTGAGCTAACAGCCCCATGGCACAGCTTCTCAGGGTAGGAAAGCAACTGCTCGTTGTTTGAAAGGCTGATGACACATTCTGCGGATGCAACCCAGGGCAGGAAACCCCCTCCAAACACTGCTTCAGGGATGCAGATGAAAAGCCAAGCATGTGAAGCCTTTGCCAGGACAGGACGGGACATCTGTAGCCTTAAACGCTGCCCCAGCCTGGGCAGAGCAGTGCTGCAGTGGAGTCCTCACCCCCTGGCACTGATCAGTCCCATGCACTAGTTTGTGTTACAGCAGAGTGCAAGGAGGCTTGGACAGTCCCACAGGATTCCTGTTTATTTCCTTACTCCACTCTGCAGCCAACTCACCACCAGCAAGGGAAGGGTCGGAAAGCAGGCAGGGCACATCTCTCCCCTTGTCCCCAAGCAGAGCCACACCGTGCCTGTCACAGGATGTACCAGGCTGCAGCTCCTGCTGCCATGGCCATGCAGGCTGCCAGCACCAGCTGCACCAGGGGCTGCCTGGCCAGGCCCACGGCAGCGTGGAAGGGGCAGCCGGTGCTTGCCATGCCTGCAGGACACAGAAAGCACCGTTAGCACTGCCAGTCCTGTGCCACATGCCCGTGGCAGCCCCTCAGTGCCACCACCTACCCACTTTGTCTGCATAGTAAGGGCATTTGCGGATGTCTCCTTTTCCGTCATGGACTGGAAAGCCTCCGTCTTGGGCTTCTTCTGCCAGCGACCTGCCGATCTTGTCCAGCTCATCAAACACCTGCAAGTGGTCACAGTGAGCACATGAAGCAGGCAGAGCCAGGCAGCTCTCAGCCAGACCCCTGCAATCACCTGGGGAACAGGCAAGCACCACTCCTGCTTCCCTGTCCCCAGACACCTTTCGGGGCATCCACTGCAGGGAAGGGGTGGCACCTGGCACATGTTGCAGCTCCAGGAAGGCACAGCCCATCCCAAGAGCATTCATAGTCAGTGCCAAGAGCAAGGCAGCACCACCCTGCTGCTCACTTCCCAGCCTGCTGTGGGTGGGAGTGTGGGGCAACATGCTTTCCCCTCCCTGCTGCAGACCCTTGGAGGATCCCAGCTCCTGCAGTGGTCAGGCAGCCCCTCTCGCTGCCATGGGATTCCATAAGGATCCTGCCAAAGGAGCCAACCACACCTCACCACGGTTCTGGCCAGTTTAAATCACACTGACCTGCTACAAACACAAGATTAAAACTTCCATCCAGTAGCTAAATCTGTGTTCATCCCCTGGGGCAAACAGCAGCTCAGTCAGGTTTGATGAGAGGCAAATACTATGGGAGGAACAGGAGGCTCCAGACAATTTTGACCATAGGGCAACAAGTCAGACCTGAGACGGGAGATGAATTGTCACCAGGGTGGTGCAGCACATTCAAACTGTTTGAAGCTGTCTTGGCACAAGAGCTTTCTCCCCTCACTTTCACAGCCACACAGCCTGTGGGAATCTTCAAGTCATATTAATTTTGCCTTAATCAAAGCACTTGGCTGGGGTGTTGGAGAATGGGAGGAATTCCAGCCTGAAGCTAGTGAAAGAGCTGGTTCAACTAGAATCCCAACCCCTCGAGGAGGGACCTGTGGTGGTCTCAGCCCCAGACCACTGGCTGGGTGAGTGATGTGACTGAATTAACCTGGGCCACACCTAAAAGCGGCAGCACCTACTCACACAGGAGATCAAGGGATTTGTTTAGTACCTGCATGTTAAATCTGAAGGCTTTGTTGGCCTCTTCCACAATCCTTTCCTTGGTGTTCTTGTCCAAGTCCAAAGCATTCATTCGTGCTCTGTAAAGCTGCTTGAACTTCTGTGCGTTGGAAATGTTGTCAAACGTGTAGAATTGGATCCCTTCCTCAGTACTGGGCAACTTCAGGGCTCTCTGGGCTACCTTCTTCAGCACCTGGCCACCTGAGAGGTCCCCCATGTAGCGTGTGTAAGCATGAGCCACCAGCAGCTCTGGCTCGTGTTGTCCCACATGATGAATTCTGTCCACATATTGCTGAGTTGCCTCTGAACACTGGATCTTCTCTTTCCAGTCTTCCCCATAGAAATATTTGAGGTCTTTGGCCAAAGCTTCTCTCCGGTGGAGCTCTACGGGGAAATACAGAGGAGCAAAGACTGGGTTGTCCTTGTTGCGATCCATCTCCTCTTCCAGAGCAGAGTAGGTGAAGTAAAGGGCCACGGTGGCCAGCTACGGACAGAGCACAGCTCATGTGAGAAGCTACTCACTAGATGGGCACAACTCATCCTCATGGCTACTCCTGCCTATGTGGAATTGGGGTAAACAAGAGCAAACCCCCAGGCCCAGCACAAACCCAGCCTGGAGAGCCTGTACAAGGCAGGCACTGCTTGAAGGAGCAAAGGCGCTGCTCTACCCACCACCATAGCACTCCCAAGACTGTGGGGTTCTGCCTTGGAGTCTGCATCAGTCACTGGGTGCATCAAAGAGATGAGGAGCAGAGCAACACCCACCTTGAAGAGCTCCTTCTTGATGCGGCCCTTGAGGAAGTCCTTGACAAACTGAGTGTTCTCCGCGCGGTCGTGCGATTCCTTCGTCCCCTCCTTCAGCAGCTCCGAAAGGTCCATGGGGCTGCAGGCAGACAGGAGAGCTCCTTTCACCCCCCTGCCTCTCGCAGCAATGAGTTTATCCCTTCTGTGTTTGGAGGGCTCCCCCACCATCTACCATCCCAGTTTAGAGAATGTACCAGGTGGGACCCTCAGGCCAGCCGTGGGCTGAGCTGGCACCTGCTGGAGGAAGCAGCAGGGTGGCAGCAGCCCATGTGCAGCCAGACCTCCCACTCCAGGAGGACTGGGGCTTACCAGGGGCTCTGGCCAAGGATGCTGAGGCAACTGCCAAGGACCTGCTGATCCCTGCACACTCTGACTTTTGCTTCTCATCCATGTGAGCCCAACAACGCTACACAAAGAAGCCTTGAGTATATGGGGAGCAACAATCAGGGCAGGTTAAAGGGCATGGGGGCCTTGGTGGTATCTTCTGCCAGAGAAGAAAAAAGGCTCAGGTAGGTTTCCCAACTTGGATACCAACTGTTGGTGAACAGATGAGAGCTGAATAGCAAAACAGGGCAAGAACATCCTTAAAAAGTTTATTTCTGCTGCATTACACTGGTTTTTCAAGTTTCCATAAGGTGTCTTGTTCTAAAAAAGACCCAAAACATTAACATCTATGATTTTAGAGTACAGGCACTGCACCTACCTGGACACAGAATGAACTGGGTTAGAAAAGGCCTTTGAGATCACCAAGTCCAACCTGTGACCTAACAGCTCCTCATCAACTAAACCACTGCACTGAGTGCCACATCCAGGCTGTTCTCAAACACATCCAGGGACAGTGACCCCCCCACCTCCTGGGCAGACAATTCCAGTGCCCAGTCACTCTTTCAGTGAGGAACTTTCTTCTGTCATCTAATCTAAACTTCCCCTGGTCCAGTTTAAGGATGTGTCCTCTCATCCATTCTGTCAGTGGTTGCCTGGGAGAAGAGACTGACCCCCACCTGGCTAAGCCACCTCTCAGTACAGAATCAGGACACTGGTACAGTATCAACACACACACTCACTCAAATCATGCCAAAGTGCACCTGACAGTTTTTATCACTAGTTTGCTACAGCTACCACACTGGTGTTAGCTCTAAGAGAGACTTTGAACACTCCAGACCCACAGAGTGTGCCAGCAAAGCCAGCAAACATTGACTTCTCATGAAGCTGAGCCTATCAAGCCAAACAAGTTGACCAGCCTGTCTAGGTCTTCTAGGAAGCACCCTAGTCCCACTTCCTGTTTTCCAAGTCTGAAGCCGTAGCTTTTAGAACATGTATGTTAATTTGTTTGTTAAAGTAACCTCCTAGAAAATGTCCTTGCCTAGACCTGGGTATTCTGTAAAGGCAAGAGCTCACCAGAGCAGAGTTCACTTCTAGAGTCAGTTTTCAAAACAAGAAGCCTGCCCAGAAAGCCATGGAAAACTGTCTCCCCTTGGTCAGGAAGACACAAACACAGCTGCCAAATAGTCAAAGTGTTTCTGAAATGTGACTTTCATAGTAGAGACTAAAAAAACAACTGTTGTCACCCCTGCCAGATCACTCTTTCCCATCCCTTCCACCCTTACAGTACAGTTTGATTAAAGATTTCACAGCACATGTATTTAATTGATCACTTATTGGGGTCCCTCACTTCTTTCAGATGAGAAGAATCACTCCTTTACCTGAACATCTCTTGCCTTGCCCAAGGCTGTGTCAGTGCCATTGTGTAGGACAGAACTCACCTGACAGCACCATCTTCTATTTCCTCATAGTGCAAAATGTCTTCCTCTCCCCCCACCGGGCTCTCCAGGGCTGATGGCATTGTGGTGACTGCTGGGGATCAGTCTGAAAAGCAAAATCAGAGAGGGGTTTGCAGGGGAAGCTGCCTTAGCAAAGGGATGGGTGTGAAACACTGAACAGTCCAACCAGGAGTTCTCTGAGCAGCCCCACCAGGTAGGGCAGTGAGGAGCAGCCTCTGGCTGTTTCCACCTCACACCAGGCACTTCCAAGGATGTAGATTTGCCTGTTCAGTTCAGCCACTTCAGGTGAACCTCAACACTGACACCCAGTTAAAAACACTAAATACAGCAGCCTACATTCCATTCCTCCCTTCAGGATGGCTCCTGATGAGACCTCCATGCTGGGAATCTACACTGGACTTGTGAGCAGGCTGCTTTCCCCTGGTGCTACCAAATATTTCTCCCAATGTCACACTCTGAGCAGAGTAACTGGAAAGGGAAGACCCTCTCCTTCACTCAAGAGGAAGAAGCAGCTACATTTCCACACCAGTACAAAGCTCCCCTGGAAGTAAGCAATAGTGAATTAGGCCAGCTGAGCTCTGAGGTCAGGCAGCTCACAGGAGAATCAAGAACATTCCCTGTGACAGAATAGAGCACGATGAACTTCCAAAGCAGGGGCAGATTTCACTGCTCTGCCTTTCCTGGGCCACTCTCCAAGCAGAGTGAGCTGCAGACAACTCCTGCTCCCACTCACACCCTCCTCTCCTGCCCGCCAGAATTTACTTCAAATCCCATACGTAACTGGGTTTCCCCTCATTTGCAAAAGGAAATAAAATCTCCTTGGATGTAACAGGATGCACAAGCCTTTCCCAGGAGCAGGAACAACACACACCTGGATTACACTGGCTGGGCACAGAAATCCAAGCACCTCATTTATAAAATGGACCAGTAATCAGCTTTGTGCAGAGCAACACCACCACCACCTTTCAGGCAGCCTCGGGAGAGGAGCAAGGAGCCAAGCTGATGCTGGCCCCTCAGAAAGCACTCACCAAGGGAACCATCCTGCTGCTTCCCACTGCAGTTCAGCCCTCCTTGCTGGGCTGCATCCATGGACTCACTGCTCAGCCCACGGCTGGGGACTGGGAGAGCCAACAAGCAGCTGCCTAGAGCTGGTCAGCACAGGGCCAGCACTGGCACAGCAGCTCACCAAGCACACCAGTTAGAAATTAATTGCTCTCCAGTTCCTCACCCCAGAGTTTCTAAGCCCTGTTTCACAGCCACCCTCAGTGCTCTCCAACAAGGATCCAGGGCTGAGCCCCATCCTCAGGTGCAGCACAAGGCTGCCCCCAGCTCAGGCACAGCACCTGGTCTGGGGGTTCATCACCAGGTGAAGGTTTCCCCTGTGATCACACAATCTTTGTGTTTCCTGGGACAGAACCTTCCCCAGGGGAAGACTGACCAAGTGCATTGTTTTGTGATGCCAGGAGCCCAGGCTGGGACAGAAGTCATTCAGGGTTATATAGGGTGGCAGCCCTACAATCTCACCCCCCTTCCCCTGACGTGGCACCGAGCAGCCTCCCCACCCCAGGATAAAGGGCAGGCCAGAAACCAGCTTCAGGTGCTGTGCTGGCTGTGTGATCACTCACCAGGCAGCTCGACTCAGGGACCCATCTTCACTCCTCACACAGCTTCGGAGTGGGGAAATGCCCACTGTGGGGAAGGGAACCAAAGCACAAAGGCAGATGAGCCAGCTGAGCTCAGCCAGGACCTGTCCTGGGCACAGGAGGAACAGCACACTCTCCACCTGCCAGTGTCACCAGGTATGTGACACCCTGCCTGCTCTGCTCATGGCAACCCAGGACCTTCTCAGGAGATGCAGATCCCAAAATGAAACTAGACAGACTAGTTCCAATTTATCCTATACTCCCAGAAAGCCAGACCCCTGGAGGTGAGGTGTGCTGTCTCCACATGCCTGAAACAGCCACCTGTACAACGCAGCAGGTGAGAGCAGAGCTGCAGAGCACTTGAGCCACATTCATCCCTTGGGAGAGGCCTGAAGGCTGACATCAAATCCAGCCCAAGGGAACACACCAGGTCAGACCTCAAAATCAGTGGTTAACAGCAGCAATGGCTCAAGGTTCCCCATGGCCAAAGGTGGCCCTGAGATCATCACACTGCTCACTCATCAGAGCACAGAGAACCTAGAGGGGTCCCAGAAGCCTCCACCCAACCCTATTACTGGTGTTATGGAAGCACAGCTAATGAGAATGGTGAATGACTGTCCCAGGAGCACAGTCTGCTGCTGGGAGCAGGGGTTACCACGCAAAAAGTCACTGAAGGCCCTGGGTGCATTCTCAGACTTGTGTTTCCCCTGGCATGTTTTACAGGGCTCAGCCTAAGTTCTTCTCTGTGGCACTGGTAACACCAGTCCCTGTAGCCCCAGGTGATGGCAGAACTCATGCAGGAAAATGTGGAAGCTGGAATTTTTCCCAATATAGTCTCTAGCACAGACACATCCCCAACAAGACAAGCCAGCACAAAGCCCGTCCTTCCCTGTGCTGGGTTACTGCACAACTGGGAGGAAATGCAGGCAGAGCCACTGTGTCTCATGCCACCACACAATGTTGCTTTTACTCAAAAACTGGCAACTGCAAGCCCCAGTTTGTGGTCACAGCCTTGGTTTCTCTGCTCCTCTGAAAGGGGGCACGTCCCACACGCCAAGGAGGAGGCTCAGGCAGTGCCACCTCCTCTGCAGAGGCTGAACACCACCTCATTTGCTGCAGGGAGCTCTGCTCAGCCAGGACCTGGCTGATGTTCAGGGTACCTCCCAGTGCCCAGACAGAGCCTGCCTGGGAGCAATCCAACAGCTACCACTTGGGATATGGAGAGTGGGGAGGAGGTGTGCTACGGGACACCTCAGCATTCCAAACATTTCTTTCCCAATGACAGTGTTCAAATGCCCTAAGAAAACACCTCCACCTCATCTTGATGTGTGCAGTTTGTCCCTACACACATCTCCTCACCAAGCTGCACAGCCCAGATGTACAGCTGTTCTTCTCAGGGTAGGAAAACATTTAATCCAAATAATCCCAAGCCACTTGAAGGAAGAAGACACTGCTGCTGCAGGGAAGGAGGAGTGGAAGCCCTAGATTTGCTTGGGCACACTGGGAGAAGTCTGGTAACCCACAGACAGTACAGAGTTCATATCTGCAGTTTAATTTGCATGCAACTGCAAGGCATTTCCCCACACACAGAACTCAGAGTGTGGTTGGACCTATCATCACTTCAGTGGGAACAAACATCACAACCCCAGGCCTAAAGGCTTGAAGAATCATCCCAGAGGTTACCTGGCAATCCCAGCAGGAGAGATTCTCATCTCCATCTCCTTCTGGAGAAGCATTTGGCACTGGCTAATGCTAGAAATGGATCCTCATAGACTAAATTACCATATTACCTGATCCCAGGTAAGTTAAAGATTTCACCTGGACACAGCCTAAATTTAGGCAGCAATTCAAGTCCCAGACACTTGTAGTGTGCCCACACAAATGCTACTTCTGTCTTCTAGAGCTGCAGCCCAGCACCTCAACAAACCGACCAAAGGAAGCTCCCCATGACCTCAAAGACCTTGTCGAGGTCTGCCCTGTGGTGGTGGCACTTGTGCCAGGCAGCTCATCAAGAACCTATTCTCTCACCCTGGCTATAGGAACGGACAAGGGTAAGTCAGGGCTGGATGTGGGCTGAGAAAGAAAACATTGTGACAGACATACACAGTTATAGCACGCAGTCTTTGTTCAGCAGAGAGCCAGTGCTTGTCCTGGCGGTCATGTCGGCTGTCAGCTGTGCCTGGCACGGGCCAAGCCGGGCCAGTGACAGGCACTTGGGGCTGCTATGTGCAATGCAGTGCTGTGTGTAGGTGCTGAGGCATGAACAGAACCATGGCCAATAATGGAAAAAGAGGAATAGCAAGAGGTCTTCGTTCTCCAAGTGCCTCCTGAGCTCTGCAGGACTAAGGAAATCCAAGCGGCCCCCGGCAGCACACAGCGCAGGGCTCCGGTTCCGGCAGCCCCAGGCGTCGCTCTGGAGCAGCCGTGCAAAGTCACTGCGGGCTCCGAGCACCCAGTACCGGCACACAGCGCCGGGCGGGCGCTCGCTCGTGGGGACCCACGGCAGGAGCAGGGCGGGCTGAGAACGGCCGGCCCGGCGTGAGGCCAGCGCCGGGCCCCGCGGCTCGCGGCCGGGAGCTGTGGGCCCGAGCGGCGCGGCCCGCTCAGCCCCGGGCCCCGGCGGGCAGCGGCGCGGAAACCGGCCCCGAGGCGTTCCGGGAGGACTTCCCGGCCGGGAGCGGGCAGAGCCCCGCAGGGCGAGCCCCGAGGGAGGGGAGGCCCGCGGGCCCGGCCGCTGCCATGGGGACGCGCCGCGCACTCACCGCTGCTGCCGCCGCCCTCAGCCCCGGCGAGAGACAAAACCCGGGCCCGGCGCGGCCGCGCGGCTTTATCGCTGAGGGGGCTCCAAGCGGCCAATCAGGAGCCGCGCACGGCGCGCGCCGGCGACCCAGGCGCCGCGCGAGGATCGCCCCGCCTCCGGAGGCGGGCGGGGCGCGAGGCCGCGCACGCGCAGAAACCGCCGGTGGGCGGGGGTCGCGTGGGGAGTCACGTGCTGCCCTGACCACGCCCCCCGCTCACCTGGTCAGTCCCGCCCAGGGTGGGCGGGCGGAGCGCGAACGCGCGCATGCGCAATCAGCGCTGTGCCCTGGCAACCAGAACCGGCGGCCGAGGGAAGATGGCGGCAGCGCTGCGGTACCGGCGGCTTCGTTGGCGGCTGCAGCCGCGGCACCAAGAGCAGCTGCGGGGACACACGGACAGCCAGCGAGCGGGCCGAGGGCACTAGGCCTTGGACTTCTTTGGGCTGCTCCAGTCCGTGGGCTAAAGAAGGGAGCTCAGCCCCTCTGAACATGGATCAGGAGCTTTTGTTGACTTTTTTGTTGCAGGCTCTGAGATGGTCCGTGTGGTTCACTCTAGTAATTGTCCACATGTGGGCAGAGAGTCATGAGCCTTCCTCTGAAATACACGAAGCGCATTCCACCATTTCAAAGCACGTCCTTTCTCTCCCAAGAGCTTTCCCTCCGAACACCACCAAGGCTTCGCAAGGCCTTCCCCCGGGCTGGGTCCTGGCAAAGGGCTCGGGAGCCGCTGGGGAGAGGTGAGGGAGGGCTGGGGCAGGTGTGCCAGGCCGGGGGAGCCGCCAAGGGCCAGGAGGGTGTGGGGCGAGGGCCGAGAGCCCCGTGGGGAGCAGAGCTGGGCGGGCCCGAGCCCGCTGGGGCTCCGGGGCAGAGGCAGAGCGGGGCCGAGCCCGTGGCCGGGCAGGAACGGGCCAGGCCGAGCCCCAGGGAGCCCGGCAGGGGCGGCCGGAGCTCCGCTGGCCACAGCCTCTGCCCAGAGCGGCTGGAGCTCCATTCGCTGCAGCCTCTGCCCGGAGCTCCACTCACCACAGCCTCTGCCAGGGCGGCCCGGCTGGGCCCGAGACTCCCTGTGCAGGAGAGGCAAAGGCAGCGGCAGAGGGCTCAGCCCCCAGGGCCTGTGCCCCTTCCATGGGCTCCTGAGCTGCGCTGCAGGAGAAGAGCCAGAGCGCCTCTGGCTGTGCCCGGCCCTGCTGCCAGAGCTGCTGCAGCTGCTGCGGGAGAACCGGGCCCTGGCGAGGCGCTGCCGCCGCCACAGCTCCCGGCAGAGCCAGGGCCCAGAGGGAAGGGCCGAAGGCAGCCTGGCACTCAGAAGAGGAGGAGACTCCACTTCTCGCCTCTCCTCTGACTCTCCAGTTCATCTCTGGGTTTGCTGGACATGGCAGGGAATGTATGACCAGTGCTGAGCCCGGGCACTGCGATATTCCCACTCATAGGGGTTAGGAATCCCTTTGTTATTAGGAAAAAGAGGTTTCCCTCAAGTCTTCTCCATCCACAGTTGAAGTTTTTCAGGCATAGACTTCCCTGTCATGTTCTCACCCCCTAGCTGAAGCTGGGAAGAGTAGTCTAGTTCAATAAAGCTCATGTTTTCTATACAATCCTGTGTTTACTGTTCCCTGTGAGAACAGACAGTTTATTGTATATAATGTAAATCAAAAGCAAATTCTGTATAAAAAAAAATTATGAACAACATATACAAAGATATCAAGAAATCTGCCCTCTTTTTGTGTTGTGTCCCTGTTTTTCAGTGAGCCTTTGCACACTCAGAACTGCAAGAACAGACAGAAGTTAGAAATTGTTATGAAGATCAATATATAATATGACAATTTAGGGTCCAAGACTTCTCCAGGAGTCCCAGACACTTTACAACTGGGACCAGTCCAGTTTGTCAATGGGACTGCTCCAAGCAGTAGGTTTAGCTCAAGCTGTGAGAAGTGCTGAAAAGTTCCAGTGCTCACTTAAATATTTTCTTAAAGACATCTCTGCTGGGGGCTTTCCCACAACATGGGGTATCAGGGGCACTTTTGGGAGGTATCACAAAGGGAACAGAACAAACCTCTGCCCTGTTCTGCAGCCATTTCAGAAACAGATTTAGGAGTTTTAGTAGAGATTGCCAAGTGAAGCAAGAAAAAAAGCCTTTTATGTATTTCCACAGCATTCCCTGCCTTAAAAATCAGCAGTGCAAACTGTGCTGAAGAAGTGAAGATGGAAGTCATAGAAGTGTAAACAGACAGCGCTTGACAGAGTGGACTGAATCCAGGAACGTGAAGGGTGAAGCATTTCACTGCCCAAATCCAGGGAATAGGTCCTGGCACTGAGGGAAGCACCAGCACAAAGAGAAATGGGGGATGTAAGATCTATTAGAAAAATGGAAAGAAAAGGCACAAAAGTCAGCTGGGTGAAAAAAGGTTGCAGTGAGCTGTGTGCTGAAGGCAGGGCAGCCATGGGGTGTTTGTGTAATCAGAGCAGGCAGCCGGCAACGGGAGTGAGGCTCAGGCCCGTTCTCCGGGATGTCACCTGGGATCAGGCCACGAGGAGCAGCAGTGCTCCACCCATCGCCTGCGGCTGGGAATGGGCTTTTCAGCTGGGCAGCAAGGCCTCCACACTGGATTTTCAGCGGGAAGGGGTGGGCTTCACTCGGTATCGCCTTCTCTGTTTTCTGTTCTCCTTCCTTTTCTGCTCCTGCTCTTTCCGGGCTCTGGCCATGGTAGATGTGATGCACTGAGAATCCAGAAAGTCCAGCAGCTTTGTCTTGGAAATTTTAATACCATTCTGTTTGAGCTCTGCATGCAGATCAGCCAGTTCGATGGGCTCATAGAAGAGAATCCTGTTGTACAGGGCCGTGTTTGAGCGGATGTAGCATCTGATTGCCTCCAGCTTTTCCTCTTCCCGAGCTGCTGCTTGAGATGCTGGAAATTCCTCTTCCTCCTCCTCAGATGTAAAAGCACATGTTTCAAATCCATTCACAAAGGAACTAAAAGCAGGACAAAATAGACCAGAGATCAAGGAAAGAACAGACCAACAAGGACAGGACCAGAGCTCCCCAAATCCCTGATGGTGAAGCGTTATGACTTCCCTCTGGGATCACAGACCCTGCACTACCAGCACCTACAAAATGAATGAGGCAGAACATGGCAGAACTTCTGCAAACTTCCCATCCCAGCCAAGACACCACTGGTCCAACTCACCCAGCCAGAACTGTATGGAATTTCTGGCTCCTGGCCTTTCCCTCCTGGCAGGTTCTGCCAAGGGGTGCTGTGCTGTCCTCTCCCAACTCCAGCTGCAGGTTCTCAGGCAGCATGGAGTGCTCCATGTCACTGATCTGCAGACCACACATACCAGATTTGGGCCTTGCTCATAAGCAGCCCTTTTATGTTCTGAGAATAGTTCAGTGGGAATTAGACTGAAATTAGATGTGACACACTCAAGGAGGTGGCAGAGCAACTATAGGCCACAAGGACAGTCACCTCTGTTTGCCTCATTCCTACCTCATCTCTGTCCTGCACCCCTGAGTGTTTTGTGTAGGATTTCACTGCCTCACCTCTGTGAACCAAAGGAGATGTCACTTCCATCCACTGACGAACATGCTGATTCCTGGGATGCCGGGAGCTCCTCGCCATCAGCTGCCAGGGACACAGATGGCGTTTCCTGCTCTTCGGCTCCTTCTGGGTGATGTGTCACTTTAATTCTGTCCTTGGGTGCGGCACAGCCTGTTCCATGGGATGCACCATCAGCCTCACCCCTAGGGAGCACTGCAGAAGCATTGGCAAGCTGCTTCCTCTTGCCCACAGTCCTGAGGGCGCCGGTGCGATTCCCGCCCGCAGCCCGGCCTGCCTTCGGCTGCCGTCTGCCCGGGGACTTCTGTGGGAGGGGCTGGGAATAGGAGATTGCATCCTCAAAGTCAGAGTCCCCATCCTGGTGAGTGTACTGGAATATCTCCTTCAGCTTCAACACCATCTGGCGTTTTGGGAGAGCACGGACACCGAATCTGAAAGAGAAGGAGAAGGTGTGAGTTTTAGGGTACAGAAACGTGGCACCTTCCATTGTCACAGCTCAGCAAAAGGTTCAGGCCAGGAAGTGCAGCTGGAAAAGTCTGACATGACCTCAGAAAGCCCTGGCTGAAGCTTCACCATGGCTCCCCTTCTTTCACACTGCCTGCCAGCAGGTACCTCTTGTAAAGAGCCATCCTGGGGGAGGTAATGCTTACCTGCTCAGCTCCTTCTTCAGCTGCGGGGTCTCCATGATGGAATAAGCTGGCATGGGTGTCACTGGAGTGCTGGGGGACCTGTTGTTCTCCTGACAGGAAGGTTCTGCAGCAGAATGAAATTACTGTGATGAGAATCAGTACAGAAAGGACTTTAAATGGCTAGTACTTCTCCTCTTAGTGGCAGAAATGTAGTATTATCTAATAATTGTTTAATACTTCCTTTTAAGCTGCTTTAGTTATTACTCAGCTTCATAGTGGATAGAATAGTCAGCACTTTTCCCCCGCCCCCTTAATCGGGGTACTTGGTTTTCATTGACTTTACATCAGAAAACAGTTTAAACTGGGACATATGTCACATCTGAAAATGAGGCCATTCAGGGCTTTGCTAGAACAGGCAATATTTAGAAAGCAGTTAAAACCATGTTTACTGAATTCTGTGCAGTGGTCCTTCTCCCAGGAAGCAAATTTCATAACAGAGACTTGATGCATTAAAAAATTGAGCAGGTCAAGCTACTGGGGTCTGGAGTTAGATACTGATTTAATGATGCCAGTTTACTGATACTGTGAAGCACAGCCAGTCTCACATCGTGTTCTAATCACCCCTTAAACTAATAATTTAGTATGGCATAATTATTTAATTAGACACTGCAACATCAGTTACATCAATCCACTGGCAAGCAGGCCTGTGTTTTGTTCTGCTTTGGTTGTTTTTTCTCTATCCACAAACTCACAGCTTCTGCAAGGAGTACTATCACTACCAAAGGACTGGTGACAATGAAACACTCCAGGAATCCCACATTTAGA